CTGCTGCAAATGATTCCTTTTTCATGAGCTACCTCTTGTTAATCAACAAACAGTTTGGAATATATTTACTTTTACATAATTCTTCTTGAAAGCTAATGCTGAAGTGCGTTCTGTGCATTAGAAGACTCTTATTATATAGGCTGACCATTAAAACAGCTGCATATATTTGAAATTCAAATAAACATTAATCCTTAAGTAAAATATTTAAAAGCCCCAGTTATTGGTAATGATGTAGGTGCAGGATTATTGCTGTCAATTGTAATTAGAACCAGATTAAAATTGAGTGTTTGAGCTCATACTGAGCAACATATAATCAGTAGCTTTTAACTAGAACTAAACTTGTTACATCTCCTTATCCAGGCAGTACAGAGTTTATGTAGAGATAAGTATCATTAAGTTTATGACCTTGACTTTGATTTGTTATTGCAACAGTAATTTGCATTAGCACACACAGATGCTTTTATGTCAAAAGAAAGTCGTATTAGTACTTTACTTATATCTGCCTTGACGTGAGCCAGCACAGCTTTTAAATTTAGGGTCAACAATAAATAGAGTAGTATTTCACTTTCTTCCATGGCTCACTCTTTGTATAAGTAATTTTTAATGTGAAATGTGTGAAATAGCCCGTCAGCTTCTAGGTGCTTCTTTTTATCCTCATTTGTTTTACAATATACACTAAGGGGTCTATGCACTAAGCTGCCGTAGGCAGCCGAGTGAATGACCGACCTGAAGTGAAGTGAGCCGAACAATCTATTAAAAAATTATAAATATGCAATAGCAATGCAAATCAGGTAGCCTCTGCTGTATGTGGTCATTATGTGCTTCTTGAGGCTTTCCAATAATCAATTACCAACTTGAAGCAGAAAGTTTACCCTCCTTGTGCTTTTTTTTTTGCCTTCCAGGTTTACTCCAGAAGATATCGAGAGGTACACACAGGCATCAGAGGATAACTGCTTTGCATTCTCATTGCAGATTTACAAACTTTATTGTATGGAAGGAGTTGCCTAAAATGTTAAATATGTAAAAATTCTATAAAAAAAAAAATGATCATGCACTGAACCAGAATTATACAACGTCATGTTCCTGAAATCTTTATTTCTCTGATGACTGGATAACAGACAAAATAAATGACAACTTAAAAAAAAAAAGGAAAAAGATTTTAGCTGCTGCTTGCTTTTTATAGCCTTTTTGTTCTATAATAGCAGTTATAAATTTTATTATACACTTTAAAAGGAACTGAAAACACTCATCATTAATGAGATCATCATGCCTGTCTGGCATGGGAATGAGAATTAATTGTTGAATTCTGGATTTGACATAGTGTGAAATACTTGTATGAGAAGGAATGGCCCATTTGATAAATAAGCTTTCTTATCTGGTATCCACCAGCATTGGAGGAAGGAGACATACAGTATCTTTGTATTTCAAATTCAAAAACTAATGCTTTGTAGCATTTTCTTGATGGTACAATTGTTTAATTACTGTATACATTCTTATCTTCTTGACATAAACTCACATTGTAGAACATATCTACACTTCAGTATCCATATGCAACATATATACAGCTGTAGCAAACAAACTATCCAGTAAATACAAAAGGACAAAAGTGTGTGATAACTGTTTTTCACAACAGCTAATAAAAGAAAAGAAAGAAGACATATAAACAAGCATTATCAATGAACACCCTTTTAGTACCAGTAATGGAATGCACTGAACTGAATGAAAATGTCTTATCTACTTGGGGAACCTCAAGGATGTAACCGCGGTGAGAAGCAGTTCCCATCTCCTGCAGGCCACAAATCATACATAGACATTTAAAAAAAAATAATAACATATATTGATAAGACTGTTTACATTAAAGGAATGTCCTATGTTAAAAAAAAACATTGAAAAGATTGCACATCCCCGAAGCACTACCCATTCCCCCGAAGTAGGATAATTACATGGAAACCAGTTTCACCTGTATCCATTTACTGGCATAAAACATTTCAACTGCAAGAAGGGCTAAAGTTATACATAGGGGTCTATTCACGAAGCAGCCAAAGGATATAGCCGTAGCTTCAGTAGAACCGAAGGGCTGCTGTACGGGCTATTCACAATAGCCTTTACAACTCCCGAACTTAGCCGAGCGGCTCAGTCGAGCCGAAGGCATATGCCTGAAAGACGAAGCTGGCCAAGCGGCAGGCCAATGGCAGGCCGACAGCCTGCTTCTGACAGCTGGGCGGAGCCAGACGGGTGGCTCCGGTCACTGGCAGAGAGATCAGAGTCCCTGGTTACCAGCTAACCAGGGACACCGATCTCCAGACAGCAAACTCTCCCGGGCGGCCCAGGAGAGAAACACTGCTTTTTCTTAGTTTCGGTTCTGCTCGGTCCCTATGAGGGACCGAGCAGAACAGCCGAGCCGAATGCCGCTCAGCGGCATTCGGCTATTCACTCACTGCTGTTCGACATCTATAAGAATAGACTGAACAGCAGCGAGTAGCCTGCCAGAGGTTCGGCTTAGCCGATCCAGATGTTGGATCGGCTGAGTTGAACTCCTCCTGCACTTCATGTCGGCCGAACATGCTGAGAATGTTCGGCAGACCCGAAGCCACGTGAAGCCACCCGATGTATGACCGTACCAGCCTGAAGTGAATAGCCGAACAGCGTTCGGCTCACTTCACTTTAGGTCGGTCATTCACTCGGCTGCCTACGGCAGCTTAATGAATAGACCCCATAGTTTTATGAACTGGTCATGGTGAAGTAAGGGGCAAAATTGCTGACCCCAAACTTGTTTTTGTGTTTGGACAAAACCCATAGATTATTGACAGGGCAAATGCTTTATGGACACATCACCATCAATAAACTGTCAATAATTACAGTTAATAGATCTATGTGGTAACATTTATGTTGTATTAGGGCATATGTACACAGGTATTTGTTTGTTTGTCATGACTACTTCTCCCATAACAGAAGTCAATGGAAATTCAAAAGCAGCTCAAAGCAGTCCCAATCAGCTAGGAAGGAGGTCAGGATTAGCTGTGACACAACTATAACACATTACAAATGCAAGCTGAATGTACCTGAAAGCATGCTGCATTGTTGTCTACGCAAGTCATTATTAACATTTTAGCAGTTATATCATATATTAATCCTTAAGCATCATGTGTGACAGGAGCTCTGCACAACAAACAGAATTACGGTATCTAACATCTGGGAGACAACTAAAATATAAATAATCAATAATGCTTAAAATTAATAAACTACTAGAATACAATATATGTTTGTTATACTTAAATACAAGAACACAATTATTACACGGACTCTGAAGGCAACCTCAATCAGCCTCAACACAGTTGGAAAATATGAGGTCACAGCACAATTGCTGTGTACAATGCTTCAACTACAGACATAGGGGGTTATTCACAAAGCTAGCCGAAGAATCAGCCGTAGCTCCGGCTGAACCTTCGGCTAGCTTGGGCCACCAGAGCCCTTTGGTTCAGTAGAACTGAAGGGCTGGTGTACGGGCTATTCACTGTAGCCCATAAAGCTCCCGAAGCTGGCTTTAACCCGAAGGCATATGCTTAGGCTCGACTGAGCCAAAGTGAAACCCGAAGCGGGCCGGAAGCCTTGCAACTGACAGCTGGGCAGAGCCAGCTGTAATCTGACAGCTGGTTCTGCCCAGTTGCAATGACAGATCAGTGTCCCCAGGTTACCTTAACTGGCACTTCCTGTCCCACGTCCCAAGTCTCTGCGGGTGCATGCTGCTGCATCAGCTTACCCTGTGTCTCTCCTCGTCTCCCGGCCAAAGATCTGAACTGCGCCTCAAGATCCTTTGCAGCCGCCCGAGCATCTTCAGATCTTCAGACATGAGCGTGCGGCGGAGACACAGGTAAGTTTTAACCATTTTAAAAAGTTTTTTATGTTTTTGCATATATCTACTGCTTGCTAGCAGTAGATATATGCAAAGACACACAAGGGCTTAATAACCCTTTCATGTATTGAAACTTACCAGTCCTAAGATTTGATAGCTGAATCTGTCCCAATTTTTCAGGCTTAGAACATTTTCAGCAAGTACAAAACATGCCTATTGATTTTGCTAAAAAGACAGTGTCCTTGCCAGCTGAACTGAAAGCACAAACATTTATCTTCCCCCTATATAATACTAATTCCACCTCCCACCATGTAATGTAGATGAAGAGAGGAAGACATGTTTGAAGTCCAGCCTAGGTGACAACCATGGCTCCTTCCATAGATACAGTGCAGTTTAGTATGCAGGATCGCTAAATGAAAATAAAGGGGAAAAACAGGGAACTAATGCAGCCACCTCATTTAAGGACTGGTAAGCTGCAATACATTCAATGTTAGTTTTTGGGTTTACATACACTTTAACTGCTGTAGAAAGAAGTCCAGTCACTAATCTGGCTTCTCTGTCTGGCAGGGTTGTATAAATATCAAGACTGCATGAACAGAAATACAAATGGATTCCATATATGTTTCAACTTTGTATTAGATATTTGCCTGGAGTTCAACTTCAAAGGATAGCTGTACATTTGACTGAAAACATATTTTAGTTACAAAGCAGTAACGGACTGTCTCCCTGGCTATAAGTAAGTGCCTGTGTAGCCCCAGAAGATGACCCTTTGAATTTATTGTTTACAGCTGTGGTTGCTACCTTCAGACCAGTGTGCAGGTTGCTTCATATTGGACATTGTTTATTAGCCATCATGAAGCAGATATTTTCACTTGTGTGCATCATTAAGGTAGACACTGGAACCATTCACAGAAGCAGTACTGCTGGTGGCTCATAACACTGCTGTGGCGGCCATCTTACACGGTTACCTTTTTATAACTAATGCCCAATCCATGGCTGCCTAACACCTGAGTTTTTAGTTACAGCTACTTTAACAACAATAAAACATAATTTAGGTCAATACATAGGTTGACAGTTTTCTATAAGACCACGGATAATCCAAAGCAAACAGTGTGTCCATGCCTTTCAGAAACAGTTAGTCACTTACTTGTATTAATTTTCTGCAGAGATATGTGCTTTTCCAATTGCCTCCTTAATTTGACTTCGGCTCCATACTTGCCAGTGGTCCCATTATCAGCAAGAATGAAATGAGAGTGCATACTGTTAAGTACTGTCAGTTTACTCATGGGGTTAGACATGGTTTGATACGGTCGCACCACCTTTAGGAGACAGTAAAATTAGTAATGTTAGTAAAATAGGAAATACATATTAATATTTCATGTAAAATGCATAACCTCATCTCAAGCAAGTTCTGTATAGTAGCAAAACTGTTTTTAAGGTTTTTCTTCTTATTTAAATCAGAACTCTGGATAGAGGGATTTTTTAAATTTTAGGTTGTGTAAACATTACCTCAACTGAGGCATATGCCATCACTGGAGAACTGCTTTGTACTTCAAAATCTATACTTTTCTCTATGCCGGGGCTAAGCTTCAGCTCTCATACATGGAAGCGCTAGGTGTTGTTTATCTGCCCTCCTTTACGCTTGGCCATTCACAAAATTTTTTGTTTGTGAATGGTTAATATTATGCACAGTGTGCTGAGATTGGCCAAACAGAAATTAGGGTGGATAAATTACACTAGTGCTTGCGTGTGCAAGAGCCTTAGTACTCATATACCCAGGGGGCTGAAAGTATAGGAGAGCAGTACTATCCGGCATAAAGTATAGATTTTCAAGTACAGAGCAGTGATGACATACACCTTAGTAAAGGTCATGTTTGTTTAGACACCAAAAATGTACGAAATCCCTCTGCCTGGAGTTCTGCTTTAACACTAGCATGATTTCACATTGTACCTTATAATGAAATAATCTAATACACTTAGGGCAGCAATAATTGATGCAATGGAAAACAAAACCTCAACTACTTTTGTAATGAAAGACAAGGCTACTGTTTAAGTGATTAGGTACTGATAGAAGCAGCCATTCTATGATTTGCATTTGTGGGACAAGGTCCTTTAGCACCCAAGGGTGCAAAGGCTAAAGTGCACCCCATCCCCACTCATAAGATGTGACCTAATTCAGCAGCAAAGGTTGCAAATCCTGTCCTTTTTGCGCCCCTCTCATAATTAAGAGCTTAAGGTGGCTGTCTCAGCCCTGGTGACTCATGTACTATATACACGGTCTGGGGCATAGAACCAGCATTTATACACTAAATTACTTCCTGGGAGAGAATATGTGACACATAAGTCAGGATATGGCTGCTTCCATCAAAACAATGAGTTCACGACTGCTGAATGTTAAAACGTTGACTTTCCCTGTACAAGTCAAACTTAGCCCAGCCCACACCACAATCTAAGGCTCTCTGTTTGTCTGTAAAGCTAACTAACTATGCTAACTCGCTAACTATGACATCAATGGGACCATGGGGAAGGGACAGCAAGGTTAAGTCCACATTGTTATGGGAAAAATTTAGATTTTCATGTAACTTCTTCATAGTATGTTTAGTTTGAATTGTCCAACAACACAGGTGCTTAGCTTTGTAACACGATCTCTTAAAATGTAATAGTAGCTACACTGCTCTTTCTGTACACAAAATGCATTATAAAACTTTGCTTTCAAATGATAGCTGTCTATCTTAAGTAATTATGGCTGTGATAATGGTTTATTAATTAAGATGAAGAGTGAAGTCAAGTTGTTCTAACACAGTTACTAAATGAATGCAGCCTTGTGATATGAGTATAGTGGAATCTGGTTACTGCACTATGCCCCTAATCTATGATTACTGCATTGCAACTATTGAATAAAACTCAAATTAATTCTGCAACTTTTCTATTTCTACCTTGTCCATGCTTCCCTACTGTTCAGGTTAGTCAGTTCTGTCCTGAGAAAAACCCGGGTATAGGAAAGCTCCCAAAACTCAATGCTCGTTTCCTTAGTAGCTAGTTGCCAGGCTTGAGTACTGTATCATAGGAAACAGGGGGCGTACCTTTCGGAAGCTTTGTTTTAATTTTTCATGACTACCAACTCATTTAAATACATCAGAATTTCCAATAATCCAGGGCACATATGTCAATTACAAGGCCTGCAGGCCAGAAACAGCCCACCACAAGACCTTATTAGGCTCGCCAGTCCCGAGTTTTGTATCGGGAAGCAGGGTTCTTCTTTTTTTTTTCTAGCTGGTGCTCAGACTAGCAATTAAGCTGGCTGCCTTCTGAAGAGGACCCCGCATCTTCCTCCTCAGCCGCACCTCCCTCCTGGGCCACAGGTTTCTCCTTGCCAGCACGTTTCTCCTTGGCTGCAGGTTTCTCATCACCTGCACGCTCATTCTTGCTTCTGCCTCTGTCTCGGCAGCTCCTAGTAAGTCCTGGTGTGTGTCCCGCTGTGTTAGGGCACTACATATGTCAGCAGTGCCTTTCCATTTAATGTGACCTCACATACAGGACTGTCATATCATGGACAGGGACTGCTGACACTCGTAGTGCAATCACACACAGGACAGTCATATCATTATTATATGACTGTACTGGTGTCCTGTGTGTGAGGGCCCTACAAATGTCAGCAGTCCCTGTCAATTTAATGGACAGGGACTGCTGGCACTTGTAGGGTCCTCACACACAGGGCACCAGTGCTGTCACATAATGTTTAAAGGGCCCGAGCTGTGTACTGCGGCAAGCAGCAGAGTTATTTTTTTTTCAACTGATATTAAAGTCTGCCCCCTGATTTTATTCACAATCCTTGGCATTGTCCTTAGTAAGTTTTGATTTTACACCCCTGATCTAGGGTGTTTTAATAAGAGGTGAAAAGCCCCATTACATTTTAAAGTGTATGTTAAGGAAAAATAAAAACTACATTCACATTCTTATTCCTGTTATTAGTGGACAACGCAGCATTTTTGTGGACTGGGTGTTGCCAGCCCTTTCAACTGTCTTTTGCTAAACAACATAAAGGCTAATTGTTCTGTAGTTCCCAAGTAAGACAGGGAGGGCTTATCAGGTTCTTATCAAACAGATGTAACAAAATGCTTTAAAATGTATATTTAAAAGGCCAGAAGAGAACAAATAAGAGAATATTATTGTTAGGGGTTTACATACACTTTAAGATGATGGGAATAATTTCACCCCAGGCTTCTATACCCAATCAGGTTTAGGGGAAAATACTTTGAACCTGATTATTTATTCAAATGTTACCCAGGCTAGGGTGAGAATGACTACTTCAGTCAATTAGCACATAACTGCATTTAAGTTATATAAGATATATAAGATATAACTTAAGGACAATATTTTAAACAATAAGTAGGGTTTTTTCCTGGTATACAGTAGCTTGTCTGTACTGTAATAAAACATATTATTACTAAGTTATAGAATATTCTTGTTCCCATTTTTTATATTTTCATACTTTTTTAAAAGGAGAATATTTTGAAGTCAGTGGTAATTAAACTGAATTACTATTAAAACCAGATTCATAGGCTTAATTTTGGTTGCAAAGGAAAAATAAACCATTTAAAATACTGCGTTTAATAACTATATAGCTCATGAACCCATTTCTTTATAGATATTTTAGCTCCGCTAGACTGCATAGTTTAAATAACTTTCATGTGTGGATTCAGAAAAGTTTAATTATTAAACTGCTCATCATTTTTCATATGTCTGTGTTATTCTTAGCAAATATCAAGAAAAAGGTAACCACGGATGATTTATTCATAGTAATGAATCCTAGCTAAAAGTAAAATAACATAAATGCAATTACAAGGGTTCGGATTTGATTAAGTCATAGATCTGTATACAGATCTGTAAACTAAACTTAACTAAACACACATGTAATCCCAGTTTACGCAGTTTGCTCTATAATGGTTAGATTGATTTTACATCTTAACTACCGGTATATCAGGCACTACTGCTGTGAATATGCAAATTAGGGATGCAGCGATACCATTTTTTTAAGACACTTTTCCTCAAGTACCAATACCAATCACTGATACCTTATTTTTAGTGTCATGTGACAGTTTTTCTAAAACAATACAGACTAATGATTTTAGGACAGTGGTGAAGCACCGGGGCCCAGTCCCAGCTGTGTCTGATGGTGTCTCAGGAGCCGCAGCAGAGCCGCTTGCTTTGTACCAAATGGCCGAGCTCCCGGAGACAGCAGCCAGGTGTCCTGTACAACCCCATCATACAATGTAATATCATAAGTATAGCCGCATCAGTAGCACCAAGGTGGCACTGTATGGCTAGCACACACACAGGCTGCCAGTCCCCAATCACCAGCCTTACGACCGCCTCTGTGACCGCCGTACTAGGCCCACGGCTGGGAGGTCCCCAGCAAGTGGGAGACCTTAGGGCAGCAGATTCCATTTAAAAATTTTAAGCGCCGGTATCGGTGCTTAGTATCAGGGCATGTTCATGAGTAAACGGACTTGTGAAAATGCCCAGTATCTGTATTGGTGCATCCCTAATGCAAATACAGAAATGTCAGTTTTGCCTTGCTGGCTCACATGCTGCCAGAGTAATGCTACCAGACAGTCATTGAAGAAAGCTCTGAAATATAATGTAAAGGTTATGATGGCCATTATGCAGGTAGATTTACAGCTGCACATATACTGATTGAAAGTTTTGGTGATTCCCTGAGAAACAATAGCACTGGCACGCAGGAGTTTTTACATAAAATGTTGACCTTTTTTACATTACTTTCAGTTTCTGGTTGTTGAACAAGTCTAAAATGACAAAAAAGAGGGGTGAAATGAATATCGTTGGCCATGAAGACAAAGGGCATAATTTTACCTACGTCAAATTGGCCTAGCATGCCCACATTATGGCCATCTACTCCAACCTCTGTACCTCCCTAAGTGTCCACTAAATGCAATGGGTGGACTTACCGACCTTTTTAGGGTGTAGTTGGTAGAAGGAGATAAGCCACAGTGTAACTATGGCAGTGTTAGTCTGTTAGCAAAACAAAGGTCCCTGGCTCTAGGACATAATCTATACATTCATGCATGGGAATAAAATAGATTGCACAAACACAGTGTAATGTGTATCATGAGCTTAAGGGCCAAGGGCTAGTTTAGCAAATTAGCAAAGCCCACAGGAATTGTCATGATATCTTACCATCTGGCCCCTGAACTGTTTATGATACTATAAATGTCATTTGAAGAACGTCTTTTGATTATGAGCAAAGCAAGAAATCTTCTACAGTGTGCATCTTGTGATCAAGACATATACTGTAAACCATGTAGGTGATAATTACAAATTTGAAACAGTGTAAGTGGGAGGTGCTTGATCCAGAGTTGGTTTTGCTTCTCAGTGTGAGGATAAACCTATACTGAAATGCACAATGACAAAGGCCAGGTGACTCTCCAACATGAAGTGGCATCAGAGGCACCTCAGGTAAACACACAAGAGTATACAGAGAAAATTAGTATGCAACACACCACAGTTTTAGAAATCCAAAAGTATTTAATCATAGAAATCCAAAAGTAACAAGTCAATGCATTTGGGGAGTTAACAATGTTCCCTCATCACCAGGGTTTCAAATGCTGGCCAGCTGTTAAAGCACTTTTGGTAGATAGGATTAAAGCAACCAACTCTAAGCTCAATCACCCTCCATTTAACCCAGGGAATTTGTTAGCCTCCAAAGTCCATTGGCTTGTTTACGTTAGACTTCTATAATATAAAAATAAATACGTTTGGACTCCTGAACCTGTGGTGTGGCACTATTGTTTTTTGTTTCTATATGTTACATTCTAAGAAATTTGCCAGCATTCCTTGAATAACTTATACTAATTTTTCTATTAAATATGGTAGTATGGCCGTCTAATAATTGAAAATATAGCATATTCTTTTTTAATGCACATGTAATTTGAGCACTTATTTGTACTGATTAATTCTTTTTATCAGTAGACTCAAATCATTTGTTTTACACTAAAATGTGTGTAAGTGCAAGCAAGTGAAAATAATTGCAAATTATAGCAGACACAAATGACTTACATCTTTGCCAATAAGATCCTCTTGATTTTCTACGATTCCCCAAGGTGCAATACCAATTGTGCAAATCTTTCCTCTAGACTTGGAAGCGTGATCTTTTAGAGCATCACCAACATGGCGAATGACACCTAGAAAATTGTTTTCATATTAAATTACATTGTATATCACACAGTATATCGCAAGTAAGATAGCTGGAAGATTTTAAGCTTTTACCTGTGTTTCTAATGATGCCCCATCAACTAGGGCATCACACAGACAATTTCCATATGTCTTTTAAAATTTAATTTAATACACTGCAATGGAAAAATAACAAGCTTTTTGTGGTCTAACATCATGCAACTTACTACTTTTTATACTTTTTAAAAAGTAAATTATTGTTTAAACATCCTTTTTAAAATAATAAACAAAGTAACGGGCGTGTTTAACCAAGGGCTATTGATACCACATTCCTACTGAATGCAAATCTAAACTGAATAAGAATTGGGCTTTAAAGGTATCAATGAAAAACTGCCACACTAATTTAAAAAAAACTAAAACGTATACATTCTATATTAAGTTGCATACAACATAATTAAGTAATTATTAAAGCGGACCTTTACCCATATCTTTAAAACAACAACAACCACACCTATGGAAATGTTTAGTAATGACAATCTACAAACACATACTTCTAGATAATTGCAGGCTTTGAATTCTTTGCATACCATAATTCTCTTTTCATTCCCAGTCTTCTGGCAGTGGCCATGTTTACTAAGGCCAGATTACTAGTTCTCATTTTACTTCCTTGAACTCTGGCACATGTGAGGGATGTGACTAGGGCATGTGACCATGCACATCATCTCAGGGGAGGAAAATGCCTTTCCCTGAGATCTCATGATATTACAGCTGAGATTTCCCAGCAATGCTCTTGTGATGTAACTTTCCCAAGGTACCACACTTTGGCACTTACATAATTTGTGCCAGAAGTGGACCAGGAAGTAGATAAACTCTATTTGTAAGTAAATGAAGAACACGTTTGTTTAACTAATGAATCCAAGATGATTTAAGTCAGCATGCAGACCTGCAGAGATTTTTAGTAAAAGGGGGTAAAGGTCCACTGTAAGAAAAGAATGAATAATTAAGAAAACAATTAAAAACATTCCCTTAATTTTGACCTGACACTCTCCTAGAAACCACCAGGCTTATCAGCGACATCAATAGCAACGATCATATGAGTATATGTTTAGTTTTCAAGTCACAACTGTGATTCAGGTAAGTTCATATTCCTGTATTCAACTGTCAATAGTGTCCTGTGGCCTCATTCTCTACGCGTTTCATGCTAAAAGTGCTTCCTCAGGAATGAGGTGTTCTGAAGTAATGGCCGATAAAGGGAAAGGAGAGACAGCAGCTTAAAAGCATACGACACACCACCAGGATGAAGGCTACATAAGGGTATAGATCCATCGGCACTTCCAATCAATAGGATCTAAACACATTGTAGTTTAATGTACCCGGTTTATCTCTTCATTTTTAGCGTGGCTGCTACTTTGTTATTGATGTCGCTGATAAGCCTGGTGGTTTCTAGAAAAGTGTTCGGTCGAATTTGGGGGAATGTTTTTATTTATTTTCTTGTACTTAATTATGATTTTTGCAAAAGAAAAAAGAATTTATATTTAATAAAAAAAATAGTGCAGCAGTGTCACATGATACCTCTAAAGCCCAATTGTTATTCTGTTTAGTTAATAAACATCCTTTTTAACGGCTTTGTCTAGGAATGACCTTGGTAATGACACAATGTTCTACTTTAAAATACGTAGAAAATGAAAGCTTTTTTTACATTTGGAAACGTGTGTGATAGGGTTAGCATTCTATTGAACAGGTTTTGTTTCCTGTCTCAGAGATACAATAGGAAGTGGAAGAAAATCCCCTCTTAGATAGTAAACACCAGATCAGTACCCATTGGATGATTTTCCATTTGTTTCTGCTCCTATGACAACTGTCAAAATGTGGATTTCCCAGCTATAAAAACCTGATGTTTTTTTAACGCTTCCTCATTTTATCCAATTTTAAATAAACATGTCATGAGAAAATTATATCGGCTGCTATTAATGACCTCTGCTTGTGAGATTGCAAGTTTTTTTTCTTTAGATATAAAGAATTCTGACACTTTTTTGGACACTTATTAAAGCATGCTCATTCAAGATCTGTGGATTAGAAGCATCAAAGCCAGACACACCCAGGCAACTAGATTTTTTAGCAACAGAATAGTGGTGGCAGCTCTCATACTTATCTCATGGCAGGTTTACTTTAGTCACCATTTACACTTTCAATTTAGTAAGCAAAGACACTGATTTTTCCTCTCTTATTTTTGTAACCATTAGCTGCAAAGTGCTCTGTGAACATGAATTACCCCCCCTCCCTCCCTCCCTCCCTCTGTATCTCTCTCTCTCTCCCTCACTCCCCTCTGTATCTCTCTCTCTCTCTCTCTCTCTCTCTCTCTCTCCGCTGAGGGGAGGGCTTGCCGATGATTGCAATGCTGAGCGTGCAGTGTGCGCTTGCGCACTCCGGCCTCTGCTGCTTTCATCTTCCGAAGATTTTTGGCGGGTTTTCCAGCGTGCTAGGAAGACGAAAGTCATGCGACCGTACAGTACATGCGGTCACACAATGCCCATACACCTGCCGATTATAGTACGAACGCGGGATAACCCGCGATTATCGTACGATAATCGCCAGGTGTATGGGCACCTTAAGAGACAGACAGATTAGATGTGGAGTACTTATGCATGGGCAGGCTGCCAGCAGGAATTTACTTTTTTGGATTTTCTACTGGACCATAAGAGGATAAAGTAATATTAAACTCTCAAACTGTTTCCCAATTATGAATGCTCAAACAAACATACATTGCTCAGCAAGGTATTTTTTCTATTATGCCCAAACACTTACCCTCATCTTGTTTCCAGGCAGTTGGCTCCAACTCTCTCAAATCAGCTTCCCTGAACTTTTCACGAGGTCACAAGGGACAGAGCCATCATCAGCAGCTGCCCATCCCTAACTTGGAGAAGGGAGAAGAGAGGGGATAGGAGGAGGGAGCAGGGACGAGGCTTGCCTTGCTGTGCCTGTGTGTTTGTGGTGACACACAAAGCATACTAGCACTTGCAAAGGTGGCTCCATAGGACCCTGAGAAGGAAAGGAGCCTACCTAAAACAGTATATTAGGGCCAGTGCTCAAGGGACCAGCTGATTCTGCACAAATCTAAAACTATTAAACATTAAGAAGCAGCATCCATTTTAAGTGATTTGATCAGCATTCGAAATAGCTTAAAAGCTAAAAATATCACTTTAATGGTGTAGATGTACAGTATACCATATAGTGAGATTTTTCTTTTACCAGTGTTGACTCCACCAGTGAATATCCAAGCTCCTGTTGTCATGGCAGCTTTGATTAGGCCTTTCCCAAAGACCTGTTTCAGTTTTGGCTGGAGCTCAAAGTTTTGGAGGCCTCCGTGAACAGATATGAGAAGTTTTGGCAGTTCTAGCTGCCACTCTTTCGTCATGAGATGCAGCAGCAGGTCAGGCTTGGTGTCAAACGAAACACGCACATACTGTAAATAGGAAGTAATAATAATAAATAATAATAATAAATCACATAGAAAAATAATACATATAATACACATTTCACAAAATATTTTGTAACATAGAACACAATGGTATGAATGAAAAAATTTGTTATCTTATCACTCGGCTCTGTATTACATTGGTTGTCTAATGCATGGGTTTTAAATAGGTCAATATAAAGTTGAATTAGATGAAGATGTCATGTTTTACACATTGCCAGGAAATCTTCTAAAATATTAAAATATTGACAGGATGTCATTATTCGGGCTAGAAAAACAAGAATGTGAATTTCGCATATTAACATTTACAGGGTTATTCACAAAAGGGTGAAGAGTTTGTAGAAGGCAATAGAAGTGAGCAATCTAGGACACCATAGCTGAACTGGAAAATGAGCTGAATTGGAGAATGTTTCCAAATCAGCTATTTTGGCCTAGATTTTTCACTTCTCCAAACTCTCCACCCTTTTGTGAATAACCTGGTTAATATTACAATTTTAATTCATTAACACTGTGGAGCTGAAGGAGAGTTAAATTCTAGTTTATCCCTATATGGAGGGACAAAATCAGATGGAAAATTCCCCTGACAACTGGAACACCTAATTTAGTTATACATAGGAAAGATGGCACATACTGCATATTTGTTGTTATTTAAATCATACTTCTAACAGCAGTTATCATGTTAACTGTAGCTGCTGTCATCTGTATGGATAAATGCCTAGGCAGTGGAAGATGGCGTACGATGCCTAGAATCCTAGCTGATTTAAAATATGGACCAAGTTCCCTGCTTGAAGCCATAAAATCAAGAAGTGAGAACACAGAACTAAGACGTTTCTGTGTCATAATGTTTAAACATTTCCTTATTACTTAATTTTGGACTAGTTTTTCTTTTATTATTAACCCTTCTAGGGTGGATGATGTATGTAATAAAAATGAGAAAATACAGTATACCTTATAATTCCGCAAGTCTATCCCATAAGGATGACCAAACCTTTATATACAGTGTAGAAAATCTCTCAAACATGAGATGAACATGTTTCATAAGCCCCTTTTGCATGTCAATTATCTATTTTGGAGCTAACAAGAACTAGCCTATAGTAATATGGCCAAATGCAGACATGTTTGCAAGCCTAGATTTGGTTGTAGTAGAGGTGCAAAGGGTGAATGAAGGTGTTCACCTAAACATTTTAACTTGCTGTTCCTTGAATGTGCAGCAAATATGAATATAGTTGAGTAACCATAGGGACTCACTGATAAATGAACCACCATCTGAAAACAACATTAGTTTACAACAAGCCACCAAGTAACCATTATAGCAAATGTTGCAACGACATGGAATATCCATTGAAGTATGGAGAAATCCAGATGTTGATGAATTTTACCTGATCAGGTAGACCCATGGGTGAATGCAGATAGTGGATATTGAAAATATAACTATCCTTCCAATGGTACTAAAAACCAAGCACAATCTAGCCAACTATGCCACTGAGTACCTGTTTTAGGAAGATACAGGTCTGTATGACAAGATTGCATGTATGGAGTGCCTTAGGGCTATTTATAGATTTTTCTGTGCTAGCCGGTGATTAATAGTTTTTCTTCTGGTGATACAGTTTTTGTGTTTGTTTAGAATATAGAAGGCTCAGTTAGGTTTATCTGTAAATTACTGTTTGGAACACCTCGGATATAGAATATGCAGCAGCATAAGCTGAATGTGTGCAGGCAGGCTGCCACTGTGCAGAGAAATTCAAGAACAAACAATGCAAATGTACCATGGCCTTATTGGAGTGCCCCCCTCCTTGGAATTCAATAGTGCCAAAGGCGTCAGTGGGGCTCAGCTGTGTATGTTTTCCGACTGACCACTTCTCTGACTGAACATCATTACGACCCAGTCTGCCTTCATTCTTCTCATTTTGGATGATTGATATACTTGGAGTCAGCCCAACATGCTGGCCTATGAGCCGCCCACAACAACACCTACAGTACAAACAAAACAATACACTCAGTGTTTCACAATGACAGCACAGCATTCTGCAGAATGAAGAAAAGATAACCACGTTTTCAGGACACTGTCAGTGCTGTGTAATGCATTTACACTATGCTGAGTAGTGGGTAATCTATCAAATTCAATGTTTGTGCTTGTGTTTGGATTATACTCCTTTAAAATACTCTGTAGAATGCAATTTCATGTCAACACGGATGTTCTTATTCATGATGCAAGTCTTTTAAAAGCTTATTGCATTTAGACTTATATTTGCTGTGTATCCAAACCTGTTAGTTTTATGGACCACAGGTTTCTCCACTGGAAGATTTCAATCACCTCATTTTCTAGTGATAACAGCAATATTTTGGATTTCCCTTCACTTTCTAAATCGGTGAGGCAAATTTGGGGGCTACAATCTAGGAATGTCTCACATAGAAAAACCATACTTCCTTGAGGGAGTTTAAGGTGCGGTCACATGCCTGGTGATTAACTACCAGACAACAAACATGCTAGTCACATAATAGCTGCAACACAATAAACAATACACTATCATTGGTTGTTTCCCCTCTTCCATCTAACAAACGTTCATGCTTGTAGATATATAGCACATATAAAAAAATGCCAAAATTATATTTCTTTTGAAATAACTGTATCATCTACTAAATCAAAATAATTAATTACATCAGCATTTTCCTTCAAATGTACCATAATTAATATGCAATGCTGAGATTACAGAAACACTGATTTGTAAGTGTTTTTCCCCATAGTTTTCCTAAGGGTCACAGAAGGACATACAGTATACAAGAGTCCTCCCGTGACCCAAAGCTTAGTATATCACAAGCTACAGCTCGCGGTATACTGAGACCGCTACAGCCATGAGGATCCCGACATTACTGTCGAGATCAGCCCAGCTGCGTGAGTGACAGCTAGATCTGCCCATCTAGAGGCAGAGTCAGCTGTACCCGCCCCTCCCCCCGTCCGTTCCGCCAGTCAGCACTGGAGGATCGGAGAGGGTAGGGGGGAATCCCTGCAGGGAGCCATGAGTGACAGTCACGACTCTCTGCAGGGAGATGACCGAGAAGTGAGCGAGCGACGATATGTGGTCACACGTCGGCTCGAACTATGAGGTTGAGTGAAAATTACTCACCTCATAGTTCTCCTTTAACAGAAATGCATGTTGCTTATACTGATGATTTTAGCAAATGTTTTTAACTATTAATTACTGTAATATGCTAATCAGAAACATCACTCTGTTCCAAACATAGCATTGCAGCTCCCTGCCCACAATGATCCTAAATCATTGTTTAATGAGGAGGCTAAAGCTGGAGCACTGACATTGACAATGATCTGTATTGCTGATCCATAAGAGTGATTTGCTTAATTAGGTGCTATCTGTGTGTCATCTGTTTGGCTGCGTAGTGTGTGAATCAGAAATTTTTTATGACACCTTCTAAGGGCAGTATAAAATGGGATTCATACCACAACCCTTGATCTTCAACTGTCTTCCATATCAGTCTTCTTATGTGAATATTGCAGTAAAATGTAAGTATTTAATGGGGGAATCTATGAAACCTGGTCAGTCAGCTTATAAGATAAATCAATGTTTGTAAGCAGTGTCAAAAGCTTTTTTTGGAATGTGAAGGCAAACCATAGTGATTGTGGAAAGGTATGCCAATAGAAGCGCTGCCTTGAATAGATTAAAAGAGCAAAACATCCTTCAGTGACAGTTACCATTTTTTAATATACAATTACTTACCTATGGGGGTCTTTGGTGCTGGGTATAATGTGCACACATTCTCTCTTGTGAAATACTCTTTCGATCCATGATTTCTGGGCCTAAAGGGATGAAAATATAAGATAAGTCAGCATTTTAAGGTTAAGTAAAAGTAAAGAAACTGAATAGAATAGTTATGTACCTTATATGCAAAGATACTGAATGTTAATGTTAAATAATAATTCAACTCCCATAAAAAATGTATAACATATTGATTTGCTAGTCTTCGCAGTCATGATGTATTTTGTACAACCAGAGACACTATTATGTCCCTACTCCAGACCTATGATCTTTTGTACTACAAGTCTTTGACTCCATTGTCCCCATTACACTACTATAATGCACAGAAAGAATGGCTTGAAATATGTCATCTTAACCCCTCCTTACATTAGGAAAAATATTTAAGTAGATAAGTATATTCAAGACTGTGTTGTTAAGTGGTACCTGCATACCAATTTTGAACTTTTTTTTTACTAAGAAGTATAACACTACATGAGCTATTTGTATCCATCCATTTTATATCTGCAGTTGGCCAGAATGACTAAATAGTTGAAATGTATATTGCTTACAGTCATTGCAAAGGTAATGCTCACTACATTTCCCAGACCCGTGTACAGAGCTTGAGGTCAGATTACAATCATCCCCTGAAATAGGACTTTCATCTTTGGTGACATGTCATGCATTATGATGGAGGCTATGATTATAGTAAATGCAGATTGCCCCACTTAGCAGTCAGTTTCAGATAGACCACTGACAAGGCCTGCATGGGCAACTACAAAACAAAAGCAAGTAAATGAAAGTTTTTCAAAAGTAGTAGTTGACTAAACTGGAGTTTAAAAGGGCAGGTGAGGTATACATTTCTAAATTTGTTACGTTTACTTGTTTTGTACTAGAAAATGTACTAAAAAAGAGAATGAGTTCTACATAACCAGGGGGGGACTCGGCAAGAAACATTTACAATAGTAATTTTCTTTTCTGCATTCTTACTTTTATTTCGCTCTAGGCTTTCTAGACATACTGATGCTGTGAAGGGAGATATGAGTTTTCTCTGGATAAACTAATGTTCAATTCCCTTTATTATTACCAGTACATACTTCAAACAATGTTATGTGGTAATTGAAACACAGCCTATGTGTTATACAAGGGAATGATGAATCAATACTAGCCTGCTTAGTATGTCCTCAACGTCATTACTGTATTCATTTGTAACACTCCTAAAAACACCTGTTTTTATACGTTTGGCACTGACATGTTATACAGTATGTAGAGTGCTGCACTGTAATTTAAAAACAGCCCTGGCATTTAATGTCTTCTAGCCCGCAACTGGCTCCTTGTACCAGTATTATTAAGGACTGGCACTGTTAATGACTGCAGGCCAAGTGTAGGATCCATATACGCTGAAGGTATGTTTTCTGCTACATGACAACATGGCTGAATAAGAAAGTCGCACCCACCCCAGACAGTGCCTAGAACCATTGCCATACTTGCATCAGCCAAAGTTTTGATTGCATATTTATAATCTTATATTTATGAGAAGAAAAAAACAAAACAGGCTACAGCAACATCAATGGGCCTGGTTTACTAAAGCTTATGTACATACACCAGTACATCAATCTCATGCGCATACCCAAAGAGTATCCTGACAGTACTATGCACCCGCCACAGTGTACACAGTGTTTTGCTATGCAGTTTACTCTCCAGCATGCAAACATAAGTCATCAAACAATTTGAACCAGGATTTGAACACTTGGAAAACAATAAAGATCCTACCTACAGGGCGCAAATAGTAAATTAGAGGACTTAATTTGCCTATTTTATGTTCTCTTTTTTTCTCTGTAAAATCGATATGGAACAAAAAGATGTCAAATGTATTATACAGCTGGCTACACTCACTTACCACAGTAAACATAAAATCTCACTGGTAAAATAGTGAATTGTTAATAAACCAGAAGACAATTGGGTTGATTTACTAAAGGAGAAGAGGCTGCTCACCCAGCAAAGTGAATGTTTTGTGAACCTGTATTCACAGGTTCACAAATATGTGGGACAAATATGTGGGACAGAAAAATTGATTTTTGTTAGCACGTTGGGTAAAACTAAAGGCAACATTTATGTAGTTTTGAATAGAGTGGACAGGAACTAGAATCTCGGTCAGGTTTTTATTGCTGCCTATGTCATGTTAGGGAGATTCACCCTCTTTATTTTTCCTGCTGACCGTTATCACCAACAGCAAAAGAGAACAGAAATCCCAAATCTTCCAATGGGAACACTAGTTCTGGAGATGGCCAATGATTTTCCTCACTTCCTGTTGTGGCTATCAGATAGGAAGTGATGGGCAATCTCTCCAATGGAACCCAGGTGGCAAAAAAAGACAAGGGTCACAACCCTTCCTTTATTTAATCCAGAATTAAAAAAAACAACAAATGTGTGGGCTTTGGCTATATCAATTGACATGAACACATATTTATTTTATTTACTAAGCTCAATGAACATTCACTTTCCTAACTGAACTGTCTCTCTTCCTTTAGTAAATCACCCATTCACTTTTTCACTAACATTCACTTTCCAAAATGAACAGAAAAATCCAAATTTTATTTGAGCAAATCAACCCCCAATATCTGCTAAATCAGTATGATACCACAAAGCTACCTTCTGGTTTCTAAAGCTCTAAAAATGTCACAGAGCCCAAATGTACTAACCACTAGGCCTATTGCCATATCCAGGAAGCTGTCAAGGGGAAATTCATATTCCTTGTGGATGGTGTATGCCATCCAGCTGATACTTGGATAGAGATCTGAATCAGCTTCATATTGTGCAATGTCCATTTGGATGTCCCTTACATTTTTCCATTACTGACATATTTCAATGAGCCCCAAGCCACACACACCACTGCCATTCTAGGTGAGTCCCTTTAAATTATAAAATAAATATACATTAAATAAACACTTTTTTAGATTGTGCCATTCTGTACCTCACAGTGACCAATCAGACCTGAGCTTTCATCCCCATAGTTGAGAAGCTCAGCTACTTTAGAGTTAGGGACGACACTTACCAGAGGTGCCTTGACATGGCAGTGTGGCTTTCATATGTATTTGTAAATAAATGCAACTAAAACCTGTTCAGCCTCTCTATTTAATTTTCAAATCATAACTGAACAAACTGAAGAGAGAAGCTGATTGGTTGCTGTGCACAGCTGCTCCAGATTTTGTCTGCTCCAGCTTTGATGAATTCCCTTCTCTGTATTTGTTAAGCTAAGTGAACATTCTCTACTCCTTTAGTAAGTCTACCATTTTATGTGCAGCATGCATGCATTACTGGATTTTGTCTTCTTTCTGAAACTTTGTATTTAAAAAAAATATTTTTAACCACACTTCTTTACAGTTAGTTTTGTGCTGAGCAGAGTCTCACGTTTCTGTAGCAATCGCTTCTATTTGTATAGAAGGGAATGTCACTGCAAAACATTTCCTCCGATAAAAACTTTATTGACAATGGTAGACTGGTATTCTAACTTGCGCTATTATTATGCACATAATATCAGGCTGGCATTTTAAAACCAATGAATTTATTGATACACGTCTATACAGCAAACCTGAAGGAACAAGAAAAAGTTGAAAGTAGAGCATTGTTATTAGGATTCCAAAGAAAGCCTGTAAAATATATACTGTAAGCCAGTTTATGAAATTACATTTCATTTCTGACTAATCAGCTGAATATTACTATCCAAAAGTTATATCCCTCTGTGTAGGGATGGTTATTGCAAGGAATCTATTATACACTTAAAAGCTTCACTTTTAGTTACTATGGTTTGAAATGGGAATACAATTGTAATCATAAGTTTGCGCATGGACATTTAAATCTTTTAGGTGACATTGACTTTTATTTTTCCTCAAAACAATCTCTGCAGTGATTGACTGTAGCAGTCTCCCAAGTCTTGTTGCAATGTTCATAGTGTGAGCAATGAACCGATTGCAATCTTTTCCTAAGAAAAGTAAAACAATCAAGCATTGGTCCGAAGAATCTTTCCATTAAATTAGAGCACCGTTTTAAACAACAACTCGCTCAACCGCTGCAATAGTTAAATGGCTAAAATTGACCCTCTTGGGGATCAGACAAAAGCTTTCCAGTTCTTTGTAACTAAGAAAAACTCAAAAGTTAGGAGGCAGCTGTCATTTGATGGAGCATACGGAGCTCCTGGGATTTATGCATTTATGCACAGTGGTCAGGAGGAGAACCGCGGTTGCGAAACTGCCGATACGTCTGCAAACTAGCCTCAAGAAATGTCCAATTGCAGAGACAAGCTAACAGGTTCCCTCCAATCATGAGCCTTAGGTACCCGACGTCATCTGATGACAAGAGCGTGTAGGCAGTGCCCCAGATGCGACAGGGAGCAGTAATGTCAGAGCATTCTGAGCCCATAAAAATGTCAGAAAAAATACTAGTAAATACCGGTAAGCGGCTGTCATACTCTGCAAAAATTAAAAGGTATGGTGTCAAACAAGAGGTGACTGTGAAGTCCTTCAAGAAATGTGGAATCAGCAATGCCATGGATGGAACTGAGGATGATCTCATATATATAGACAATGACATGGCAGACAGCAGTGATGCAACAGAAGTTGAAGAAACTGATATGTTTGAAACTAAAAGTGATGAAGAAGAAACCAGTGATGCAATAGAGGCTGAATAAAGGGATTTCTGAATTATGGGTAAGAAAAATGGGGGGGTGTCTTATACATGGGGGCGTCTTATAGACGGAAAAATACGGTGTATATATATATATATATATTTATGTATTTATTTATTTTTTGTTTGTTTCTTTTCAAGCTCAACTTATCAGCCAAGCGTATCTTTTGTTGGAGGCTTCCTACTAGCTATCCCATGGTACAAATTCTGTTTCTTGCTTTTCTTTAAAAACTGAAAACATACAGTTATCTAAGCTATACTATTATGATTCCTGGATCACTTTTGCTCGAAGCTTGCAGACAAAATATGGAAATATGCTAGTATCCCAAATATTGAACTTCTAATGGGATTTATTAAGAGATAAACAAACATTTTGATATAT